CCATGGGGAGGGAATAGCTTGCTGGAGACAGGCTTGGCTTAGACCCTTATTTCTTGCTTTGTGAAGTCCAAGACAGTCCTCTGCAGCATCCTCAAAGGTGTGAAACCCAGCTCCGGTTACACGCCACTCCGCTGGTGTCTGACGCTGTCCCGCCATCTCTGCGGCTATCGGACTAGCGGATCTCGCGCAGAGGGCTCTGCAAAGGCTACCTCCACCTAGTCCAGGACCTAACCAGGCGCTCTTCGGACGCTCACGGACGGTTTCCCTAAGCTGGTCCCTGTGGTTGCTCTCTGCATCTGGCGCTCTGCTGTCACGGCTAGCCGCCAAGATTAAAAGGCCGTATAAGCAAGCTAATGGCCGCTACCTCGTTTTTAGCAGGGAAGCCAACGTGGTGTGAAAAAGTCCTTTCTTGCCTCTCCTGAATCTGTAGTCAGCCAAGCGCTCCTGGGGAAGAAAAACCAATCTCTCGGTCCAATTGTGTTGTGCGACCGGGGTGTGGTTGCTGCCCTGCACTCTTTGTGGCTGTTGCACGGAGCACCCCAAGGAGAGGCTGCAGACCCAAGGCGCCCAGCAAGGGGATGGTGCTTCTCAACTCCCCTTCGAAACAGGGGCCCCCAGGAAAAGGACACCTGGAGCCACGCGCCATGCTCCGGCCCACATCAGCTCTGATGGAAAACCCTTAAATGGAGGCTGCTGCACCGCAAGGGACTTCCAGTTCACTTCTTCCCATCTCCAGCCTGCCTTCCCTGGCGTGGCACCATCCAGATGTGCTGGTGTTTCTGGCTGTGGCGGTCCCAATGCAACTAGACGCAGCAGGAGGGGGGCTCCGGAATGCCAGAGGCCCAACCTCTGAGAACTGGACTGGCCGCCGTTTTGTAAAGAGGAGAAAAGGAGGTCTTTCTGTCCAATTTGGTACATATTTCTGTCCAATTTGATGTATATAAATAAATCTCACGGAAAGGATGCAACCCTGGCACATCCTGTATTGATTAAACCAGTGTATTTCAAACTTGGCCACTGGAAGATGTGTGGACTTCGCTCCCATGCTGGCTGGGGAATTCTGGGAGTTGAAGTCCACACATCTTCCAGTGGCCAAGTTTGAAAAAAACTGGATTAAACACGTGTGAAAACAAGACCCCAAACCCTTGAAGAAGCAGCCAGGGCCTGAGAGGGTTGGCTCGGGGACAGGGGAAGGTCAAGGGAGGGTGATGACAAAATGATTCAAGGATCAAAAATCGAAACAAAAACCAAGGCTTACACGCGTGTTCTCACCCCCCTTCTCTTCTCCCAGGCTGTCCGCAGGGGGTGGCCAAGGAAGTCAAGGCAGCCACGACGGCATTGGGCGCCATCTTTCTTGACCACCCCCTGCGGTGTCTGCCTCTCCCATTTCTCAAACTGCACAGCCTCCTTCTTTGAATCCCTTCACCAGCCACCTTTCTGCAGCTGCCCCAAAGTCCGCCTCTCTTGGCAGCAACCGCTGGGTGCCCTCAGAGCCTTCTGCCCCCTTCCGGACATCGCCTGCACCCCTTCTGCAGCTGCCACCTCAACAGGGCCCGAGCACAAGGAATCCGCGGGACCCCCCGGCCTGCGTTCACTCGCATTCGCCTCTCTTCTTGGCTCACGCCCCATTTCTCCATCCTCCTGACAGACATTAGGAAAGGCTCTGGCGTCTAAAAAGCCCCCAAACTAAGGCAGACGTAGGTAAGGCAGGGACAGGTATTTCAGGAGATCACCCAGGATGGCATACGCACCCTCAGGGTGACTCTACTGCCGTGACATTTGTCTCCTGCACCCCTTCCCTGAAAGGGGCATTTTCCCCCAGATGCCCTGAGGAATTCCAAGCTGCAAAGTTGTTCTTTTTCCTTTTTCATAGAGTTCTACAGGTAGTCCTCACTTAACGACGGCATTTGGGACCAGAATTTCCATTGCTAAGCAACGCTGTCGTAAAGCATGTCACGTGACCGTGTTTCTTAGCTACAACAGTTTCGGCACTTCCTGGTTGCCATCATTAAGCAAATCACTGTGGGTCATTAAGTGAGGACATCACGTGTTCGCCATTTGCAACCTCTTGCCAGCTTCCCCACTGACTTTGCTTGTCAGAAGCCAGCAAAGAAGGTTGCAAATGGTGATCATGTGACTGGGGGATGCTGCAACAGCCATAAGTACAAGGACCGGTCGTAACTACCACTCGTTCAGCTCCTAAGTGAGGGGGAAGCCGGGCAACACCACATGGGGATCAGGGTGGTGGGCTCATCCCTTGTTGGCCATCAGGCTCTCGGCTCCAACTAAAGTCAATTTTTAAAAAGTTTTTTTTTAAAGGAAACAGGCTTGCTACACAGTGCCAGCCTCCAGCACAGTGTCTCTCAGCCTGGGCAAAATTCCAGGTGTGTGGACTTAACTCCCAGAATCCTCAGCAATAGCCATGTAAATTGGGGAAGCCTGGGAGTTGAAGTCTATACTTCTAGAAATTGCCAAGGTTGAGAACCACTGCTCTAGTGAGATCTTTATTCCCAAGGAGACTTCTAACCCTCTTAAAGGTCCCGAAGGCATTCTTAAAAAAGAAAGCTGGTGGGTGGTTGATGAGAAGCCCTCCAGATCAGCAGGAGGTGATGGAGAACCTTCAGGGGAAGAGGTGGTTGGTCTTCTGATCAACAGGTGCTGTGTGGCTGACATTTGTGAGAGTACCCAGGAGATGCCCTCAAAATTCCAGATCTCCTCTCACTCCCAAGGACCACCTACCCTGCCCTAGCCACTAGATCAACATCATCATCTTCATCATCTCAATCATGCACGCTTGCTTGCAAACGCCTGCACAGGCGAAGCACACAAAGGAAGCCAGGCAAAATGAAAGGCCGCGCAAACGTTTTTCAGAATCAATGGAAGAACCACCAAACATGGCAAAAGCATGAAACATAATAAACAGAACAAAACAAAGAGCCAAGCAATGGAGGGTCTACCTGGATCGGCGCCAGGCCCTTCCACCGCGCCATGGGCGAGCCTGCAGTAGCCGAAGGAACTGAAAAGAGGCTGATGGGCAAGCAGCGGAGGTGGAGGCAGGCAATGGAGCTGATGGTGGGGGGGGGAGGAGGAGGAGTGGGGGGCAGAGAGGCCGTTGGGCAGGGCGGCCCCCCCGGCTGGGGGGGGGGGGGGGGGAGGGGGGAGGGGGGGGGGAAGGGTCGTGGTGGGGGACGCACCCCCCCCCGGCTGGGAGGGAGATGGCTTGATACTGCCCTGGGGAAGGGTCTGCGTCCCACGGACCTGACAACAGAAACACAAGAGGCAGCATGAAGTGGATTCGCCAGGCTGGGAGGAAGAGGCACGAAGGGGCTGGCTGAGGGTCCGGCAAGTGGGGCGGACGGAGCCACGCACAGCAAAGTGAATCCTTTGAGCATTCACCAGCCTTACCCAACTGATTATTGGGCAATTATTATTGTAGAGAAGTGATGACTGCGCGCCCGCAGGAACATCCCTGCCAGTGAAGGACGTGTTCAAAGTCATCCTCTCTGTGAAATGCACTTCACTAGGCTTATGAAAACCCCAGACTGGCACTACCTGATTTGAGGACCGCCCTTCAGCTCTCCCCACATACGCGCTCTTGAGGATTTAATCTGCCTTCAAAGAAGATTGGAGCTTACAATATTAATTATAGGTGTAACTGGATTCTAACTGAATTTAAATAGGATAATCTACTTCTTTTTTGCAGCACCAAATCTCCAGTTGCAATAAAGGAAGTATTAACTTGAAAAAAAAATCAGAAGGAGGGGAGAGGCAAGAAATTTAATTACGAGGAATCCAACCTTGAGAAAGTAGGACATGAATATCAACAAGCCCCCGTTTAATTCTGCGACTAAAGCCGCCGGTTCATTTTCCCTTCAGCTATGCGGAATAGGATTTCTGCTGAGGCTACGGCTACAGATTCTTGGTTGAGGAACTGAGTTTTCCCCTTTGCAACTGATCTGGTGCAAATGATCCAGCGCTGACCTCCTCCTGTCACACAAGCCACACGATGCAGGACAGGGGGAGACTCCAGCGAGGGCCACCCCGTCCAACCAGCTCGAAGATGGTGGCAAAGACCTGCCAAAACCCTGAGCCTTCGCTGCCCTCTTGCGGGTGTCTGGATTCGGGCTGCCCAGATCTGATAACTCTGGAACAGCATTGTTCAACCTTGGCAACTGGAAGATGTGTGGACTTCAACTCCCAGAATTCCCCAGCCAGACATGCTGGCTGGGGAATTCTGGGAGTTAAAGTCCACACGTCTTCACCAGCACCCAGGGGCCCAAGAGCGGGTTTCCACAACCTGGTGGAATGGATCCTGGATTCAATTCAAAACCCCGGCAAGTGTGGCTGCTCAGGGCCAGAGAAGCGGCTCTTGGTCCCATCCTCCCCAACCTGGCGCTTTCTGGGTGTGGCGGGACGACAACCCCCTGGACCCCTCTGCCAAGCTCTCCCAGCACATCTCCGGTCTGGGCTCAGTCAGGGAAAGGGCAGTTGCTCCTGAAACCCCGGGAGCAGCTTCTGGTCATTCCAGAGCACCGGGGCTGACCCCAGTTCACACGCCAACGTGGCCCCCAACTGCCCCCTTGAAGGCCACGGAGCTCTTCAGCCTTTGTTCACGGCTGCCCTCGTGGGGCTCTGTCGCCGCCTGATCGCCCCGGCTGGGACTGGACTTTGGCTTTCTTTTTTTATCACTGTCTGCGCTGAGATTACTTTTAACAGGAGTAAAATAAAATGCATATTTAAACCCAAGAGCGCCAGCTGAATGCTTCCAGATGTTACCCCGCCCGAGGTCTGGGGGTGCAGCCATCCTGCTCCTGATTCGCTCCTCTTTTGTGGCGAAAGCCAGAGATGGGACACGGGGTGGGAAAAGTAGTTTAGAGGCACAAGGAAAGACGGGCTGCTCCCTCCCAGCATAAGCATCCATGATTTATAAAACCTGCATCCGGAAGCACCAGAGCAAACCCAGGCAGGCAGACAAAGGAAAGCGGGGGGGGGGGGAGCATCCCCGCCCCACTCCCACCCCCCCCAGAAAGCCGGGAAACCCCCAGGAGTGATATTTGCCTGTGCGTTTACTGATGGCTTCCACCAGGGTGGACGGGAAGTACCCCACGCGGTCGTTGCCGGTCCGGTTGTCGTGGATGCAGCCTTTCCATCGGCCGTCGGCATGCTGCTCCAGGACCTGTGGCCGGGGGGCGGGGGGGGGGGAAGGGGGGAGAGAGGGGCCAAGACTGGGCAGAT